ACAGACCGCAGACACAGACACACATGCACAGACCGCAGACACATACACACATGCACAGACCGTGCACACACAGACACACATGCACAGACCGCGGACACACAGACACACATGCACAGACCGCAGACACAGACACACATGCACAGACTGCAGACACACAGACACACATGCACAGACCGCATGCACAGACCGCGCACACACACATGCACAGACCGCAGACACACAGACACACATGCACAGACCGCAGACACAGACACACATGCACAGACCACAGACACAGACACACATGCACAGACTGCGCACACACAGACACACATGCACAGACCGCAGACACATACACACATGCACAGACCACAGACACACAGACACACATGCACAGACCGCAGACACAGACACACATGCACAGACCGTGCACACACAGACACACATGCACAGACCACAGACACACAGACACACATGCACAGACCGCACACACACAGACACACATGCACAGACCACATGCACAGACACACATGCACAGACCGTGCACACACAGACACACATGCACAGACTGCAGACACAAACACACATGCACAGACCGCAGACACACAGACACACATGCACAGACCGCAGACACACAGACACACATGCACAGACTGCGGACACACAGACACACATGCACAGACCGCAGACACAGACACACATGCACAGACTGCAGACACACAGACACACATGCACAGACCGCGCACACACAGACACACATGCACAAACCGCAGACACGCAGACACACATGCACAGACCGCAGACACAGACACACATGCACAGACTGCAGACACACAGACACACATGCACAGACCGCGCACACACAGACACACATGCACACAGCATAGAGGGTTCCACAGAGAACGTGTTTTTATTCTCTCCCGGATGGCGGGTCTCTGCGTAGGGTTGGAGTGTGCAGTCCCACCCTCTTCCTCCTCAGAGGCCTGCTTGGGCACCTCACTAAAGCTAATCCTTTCTGACAGTGACAGGCAGGCCAGGATGTCCGTGGCTGGCCACTGGCTCTCCACTGCGAATCCCACCGGCACTTTCCTCCTGCCTCTGTTGAGGCAGCTCTTCCTTTTAGACGTCCCAAGGTCCTCCTGTTGAAACTTTCTGTCCGCTTGTGTATAACACTTGGGTAAGGAAAGTAGAGTCCAGGGTAGGAGCCCCAGCCATGTGATGTCAGGGTGCCTGGGGCACCGCGTGGGGCTGGATGCCTGGGCCAGCCTCCCTGCTCCTTGGGAGCAGGTGGCTGATGCCATGAGACAGGAGAAAGTGTTCAATTTGAAAATAAAATATTCCTGTTTACATTGCTAATGTAAGACATTTGTAAACCATACTGATAAATTAAAAGTTGGTTGTTGCTGCTGCAAATCTCTCTCAACAGTGATCACTTGGGCGAGCCATTTAACCCCTCAGATCTGTCAAATGGAGAAAATACATTTCGCCTGCCTTACAGGGATGTTGAAATACAATAATTCATGGGAAAGCTCTTTACAGATTTAAAGTGTTATATAAACGTATGGCTGTTAAGAGTACCTAATTTAAAAAGTAAAGAGAGAGAACAGGACATCGTCCAGTGGACTAGCCATACTCTATACTGAGGCCAAACGGTGAGGCCGGTGGCAAATGCCGTGTGTGAGTCGTGTGTGGGCGTGCTCATGGGACGGTGCCAGTGGCACTGTAGGACAAAATCCAGAACCAGGATAAGGATCGAGAGGTCAGGCTTTGAACGTTGAAAAACCATGTTACAGTTGGGATACTCTGACCGCCCTTCTTGCTGCTCGTGGTGACTTTGGCAGCTTTTAACAACATTCTTGGCACGATCCACCCCTTACCGAAAGTAGTATTCATTCAGTTATTCCACATCTGCTATCTGAGTGTGACCACATGCCCAGTGCTCTGGCTATGGCAAGTTGCAGGGGTGAAGTAGGGGGGATTGGTCTCAGCTCTCACAGGTGGGACCAGTGGGTCCTCTCGTCTACCAGCAGTAATTACCTGTTGATCATCGCACCAGGCGGGGTTACAATCGAGCTGGGAAAATAAGGCTTTTAGACAAATGCTAGCAAGTGATCCAAGGTCATCAGGTGACCTGTGCAGGCAGCACCTGCTTTTAGAGGTGAGAGAAAAGAGAAATGGCAGTGGACTGGTGTGTTCAGAAAGGCTTTAGACCCAGAGAGGGTCGGCAGGAGAGATGCATGGAGGTGAAGTCGGGGCAGGGGGAGGCACTGCCATTAAGGAACCAGCTTGAGCACCCCATGGAGTCGGGCGTTTGGATGGCTGCTTCCCAGTACAGTGAACAGCTGCTTCTCATAGAGGAAAAGGTTTGAGAATCAGGGTAACAGGAAATGGACTGAGACCAGATCAGGCAGGGCCTTGTGTAGGGTTGCCAGATTTCGTAACTAAAAAATACAAGATGCCCAGTTAAATTTGGATCTCAAATACACAACAAAGATTTTTAGCATAAGTATAGCCCATGTATATTTGGAATGTACTTTTGCTAAAAAATGATCCATTGGGAAATCTCAGTTTAACTGGATGTGCTGGATCTTACCTGGCAACCTTGCTTTGAAGGCCAGGGAGTGCGGACTTGCTCCTGCTGGCACGGAGAAGCCTGTGCCTGGGCCCATGGCCAGCCTGAGTTCACCAGCACCCTGGTGGTCGGCTTCACGTGGCTCTCTCTCTGCCTGAAGGAATCCCCCTGGACCCTGGCAGCTTGCTCAGCCTAGTGTAGGGACACCTGGAAGTGCTGGGATCATGCCCTGGGGGCACCCCTCAACCAAGGAGGGGTGTAGTTGGTGGACACGAGCCCCACGTCCCCATCCCTCAGTGGACAGCTCTGACCTGGGCTCTGCAGGGTGCCTGAGGGTCCCCGGCAGGGTGGAGCCTCCCTGCCCACAGGTAGCCCACTTACTAATGGGCCCTTATGGGTTTTTTTGAATTCCCAGCCTCAGTGTCCCCACTCATTCCTTGTACTCCCTGGGGTAAACTAGTGAACCCGGGTCCTTGTCTTGGCTTCTTTTTGTGGTGCTACTTAAACTAAGAAGTTGTCGAAAGGCTGATAAGAATCAGCCTGGGAAAGTGTGCGAGGTGGAGTGAGGGGAGAAGGGCTGGTGTCAGGAAAAAGCTCTGAGGGCCTGAACCACGGTGCTGGTGGAGAAAACACAAGAGGGCGACAGGAGGTGTGGCAGGACGACCCCAGAGCCTTTGCATCTGGTTAATGGCGAGGGAGGCAGGAACCGAGCTGACCTTGCTGTTGTGAGATATTTGGTATAAAGGGCCACTTCTTGTGGGGAATTGATGACGCGGGTGACAGCCGTGG